CCGCGCTCCTCGCGCACCGCGGCCGCGCCGCCCGCACTTACGCGCCCCGCGGGGCCGGCGGAGCCCGGGAAAAGGTGAATTCCGCGGGATGATCCCAGGGCGCAGAAATTCCCAGCGGAGACAGAGGAGGTATTTGGGACTCGCTGCGGCCGAGGGCCTGTGTGCCGGGGGCAGCTCCGCAGCAGCGCTGCTCTGGCGGACAGGCGCTGGGGCCCACTGGTGTGCGCGAATTTTTGCTTTCTTCGTACCGGGAAGATGCGGGGCAGCGGGGACTACCCGTCTGGAGGCTGAACAAGCGCTGGGAAAAAAACCCTTATGACATTTGTGCGTGTGTGTGTCTGCCCTGATCCTGCCTCCCTTCTCTGTGTGTATGAAGAGACATAGAGCAAACCCGGTGTATATCCGTCATGCGTTCCCACAAAGCTCCCTAACAATTCCAGTTCGGCAAAATATATATATGCATATATATATATACACACATATATTAGCTCCTCTGATTTTTCTAACATATCTGTAGCTATAAATACACCACACCTAATCTAACATCTGCTATGATTTCATTACCATCCAAAGCATGGGGATGTGACAGTAACGTATTACCTTACAATACTAACCATAAGTGCATTGTAACATTTATCTAAATTACATTGCTTTTCCTGACTTTGCAAACCAGTTATAAAAAGATTGGAGTCCAGTGATGGAAACATAAGTTCAATGTAAATTATTGTGTACGGCTTCGGATTTATAATCCTATATTTCTTCGAAATGATGCACTTAAATCTCGCCTCAAGTAAGAGGTAATGGTTCTTTATATCCTTTTCCGTCAGCCATATATTTTGGTGTCTGGGTAGTTTTGCCGAGCCCCCCGCGCTCGCGTGTCTGTGTGTACATACAGCAACCCCTACACGCACAGCGTGTTCTGCATACTTGTGTACATACACACAAAGCCGAACATAATTCTGGCCGCTGTTTAGACATTTTGGATGACGGAGAGGTCTTTCACTTCCTACACAAAAGTGCGAGGGAGAAGCTGGACACGAGCAAAGAGCACGAAGAGGATTCAGAAGAAAACGTCTTTTCGGAGGACGATTCGGAACCCCCTGGAAAAAAGCCTCACAGCCCTAGGGTGTCTTTTCAGAGGAGAGGGATTAAAAAAAAAAAAAAAAAAAAAAAAAAAAAGACGAAATTTAACGTGAACGTGGAGGGGGATGGCTGAAAGAAAGAAGCACCTTCGCCACCACAGAATTAAGACATCGTAAAGGGGACTGAAAAAGTATTAAGGAAATGTTAATCCTTTGGCTGGTGGGACTCCAGCTTTGCGCGAATTTGTCTCCAGTAAGGATCTAAGACTTCTTCAATCGGAGCATATGTTCATAGAGCAATAAAACAGAAAGATTTACAGTCTCCGCCCGCCCCCCAGCAGCCTCATACCCTTTCAGGAATTACTTATGATGATTTATAACAACAACTCCGGCAATTGTCAAACTGATAAAATAGCCCGGGCTATATGCGAGAATAAACGCTCTTATGAAAGGGCTACGATTTATGTTCAGGTCCATTTTACTGCTTGTCTTGGTGGAGTTTGGTTTCTTTCCCGGCCCAATAGGATAATATAAAACTTCATTGATAAAAATGTAGGAGTCCTCGTGAAGTAGCAAATCTGTTCCTTAGTCACTAGCAAAGCACATAAACATTTGTCATCTTTGAATAATTGAATTAATGTGTTATTGTTTGAATGTATAATTCATAACATAGGAAACTTTGTCTCTGTCCTGCCTCCGAAACGGAAGCAATAAAAAGCTACAATCTAGGTTTTTTTAGAAATTACTCCAGCAAGGGATAATAAAGAATATCCTGTTTGCAGAGGGTATTTCCAGATGATTGGGATTTCACAGAGAAATCTCAGACTCGTTGTCCATATTCTATGGAGTTTACAGGGAGTGGCTTTGTATAAAAACACAAATCCTACTTTCCCCTACTCCGGGCTATTGATCCAGGACTCGAAAGCCGGCATGCCCGCTTGGGGAGCTGGATTCGCCCGAGGTCCCCCGCAGCCCCGCGCCGGGCGGCGAGTCTCGGGCGAGCAAGGACGGCAGGCAGGGCAGGAGCGGGCAGGGCGGCAGGGGCAGCGGGGCCGGAGCCGGCCTTTGTGCGGGCGGCGGGGGGAAGGCGCGCTCGGCGCTGGCTCCGGCCCCGCTGTCAAAGACGCACGGCAAAATTTACGACCCTGCTTGCGAAGGAGCTGAGGGCCTTTCCCCGCCGCTGGGACCGGGCAGCGGCTGCCCTGATAGACGCATTGTTTCCTCCGCGATGCTCCGCGCCTCCCCGCGCAGGCAGCCGCGGCCAGCGCCACCACCCCAGGAGGCGGGCGGGCGGTCAGCCTCCCTGCTCCGCGGTGCTCCGCGGCTCTCCGCGCTCGTCCTCTTTCCCCCGCTCCCTGGGAAGCAAAGGTCACCGCTTGCGGCCGGTCCGGTTCCCGGCCGCTGCCGAGCTGGAAATCAGGAAGCAGCGTGCCCTATTTGTCAAGTGTTTGACAGCTGAGTTCATTAAGGCTTAAATAAGGAGAAATAAAAATAAAAAATATTTACGTACCAGGCGTCTCTTTTTCAGCAGCTACCAAAGAGCTAGGTGTGCAGGGAGAGGGACTGCACTCTTTGTATATTATATTCTTGGGATCTCTTCAGTTTTCAAGTCTGATAGAGTCCTTTGCTTGGCAGATTAATGACGACTCCGTGTTTCTTAAGGGACGTGCTGAATTAATTATTTCGCAAATCACGTGGTCAGGACTTGTAGAAATCTATTCTTATCATCTTCCTTGCACTTTGAAATTCTGCCTGTTATGACTGTTCCTAGCAAGATTATTTTGGTCTCTAGGCTTGGGGGGAAGGAGGAAAAAAAAAAGAGGAAAAAGAATCAGGGGAAAGGGCTAACAAACATGGCCGTTGGAAGCGGTGTGGCTCTGCACCGAGAGGTCCCTATTTACTGTACTGTACAGTGAGTGGGGTTTGCTATTGACTCTGCCTTTCCTCTTCATTCTTACCTTAACGACTAGTGGTGATATAATATACAGAACTGTATTGATGTATCAGGAGTAACAGGAGGAGCTATTAAAGAGGAGAGAGAGAAAGTGCAATCACAAAATATGCCTCAATATTTAAACTTAGCGACTGTGTGCTTAGAAAGGCACCCTCACCCTCCCCTCCATGCACTCGGGCAGTAGAGACACATGTCTTCTGCTGTGCACCCTGCTCCTTGCCTGGGCTGAGCCAGAGACTGTATTTTTGGACTCGTGCCTTGACCACGCTCCAGGAGAGGACAAGCCCTCAGTGACAAGTACTTATTACAAAAATAGTGCAATCGACTTCTCCTGGCTAGATGTATGTGTTATTGTCTGAGGTGCTTACACAGGGGAGAAAAAAATGTTTGCCTTAGTTGCAAGGGAAAGTTTAAAATCTCCAAGTTTGTGTTTTCTTGTGATCTTTCTTTTGCATCCACTGTCAAAATGAGGGTTACTGCTCAGGAAAAGCTACTCTCTACATTGCAATTTCAAATTTCCATTTCTTTCTTGCATTGGTTCCTTCCAGGACTCACCTAAAAGGCACACATCTGCGTGGGGATCGAGGTGACTTCAGGTGTGGCTCCTTGACTCCTAACTCACATGCAGAAGTCTGGGAGTCATTCTAGGAGGGCTTGTTAAATGCAAAGCAGCAGCAAATGGATGACAGGCACTTTTAACTGCAGCCTAAAAGTAAATATAGGCTCCAGCTTGGCCTAGAGTCACACCATTATGGCTGGGGCAAACAGCAAACCTGTTCAAAGGGACATTTGGAAGGATGCTATGCAGAGTCACTCATCTTTTAACACTGTAATGATGGGAGGGACCAGCATTTTCACAGAAGAGAGATCTACCTTGTAAGCACTGTTTGTTCAAGGTACAAACCAGAATCTATTTCGCTATACCTTTTATTATTTCAAAATTATGTGGAGGTCTTACATCAAAACTACAGGCGACAGTTAGTATAAATAACGCTTTAATCAATGGCAGCAAAACATCAGCAAAGTCTATAAAAAGCATCACACTTTAACAGAGATGAGAATATTTGCTGAACAATGCGACCGTTTAACAAAGGCTCCAATGCACAACGTTCACCCATGATAAACAAAAATAACCAGCCTCGCTTCATACACAAAATATCTCTGGAGAAGGGTTTAAACCATTGAAAAATAAACCTCAGGTTCATTTTGCACCGGAGATAAGGACCAGTGGGTGCTCCTGGTCGCTATCACAGACATTCCTGACCCTTCAGAGCATTGGCAGCTGAAAACTACTTCTTTTTGGTACTTTCTGCCTCCACTTCAAGTATTCTCCGATCTTACAGCGCAATTACATCTATGTAAACCTATAGTGCCCCGGCCTCGCTCAAAAGGTACTTGCAAACAGGGTTGTAAGAGCTGTGCCTGCTGAACCCAACACTCATCCCGGAGTTATTAACATTTCAAAAGACAATGAGACAAATTCTGCTCGCAGCTACATCCCTGTTTGACTTCAGTGGGCGGGGGAAGGTAATCTGGGAGCAGAAGTTGGTCCTTTAACTTCGGGAGCCATCTCGGTCGATTAGAAGCACAAAGCAAGGATTTGCTTATCCAAGGCCATTATTTTCCAGAACTGTACCACAGATGCCAAAGTAGGTGTCTCTCTCTCTCTCACAACACATTTGCCCTGCTCCCAGTCAACTTATCACAGACTTTAAGTAAACAGCGGGGGTCCGGGAGGGGGATTTTCAAGAAGAGCAGCTAGAGAGGTTTTACTTCCCCACACCCTTTTTTCCCTCCCTTTATTTTCGTAGATTCGTCTGAAGACTGAAAGGATGGCTTTGAACAGCTCTGGAGAGGAAAGGCCACTACCGTAGGAACCTGGTGTAACAAAACTTGAAAACTTGTCTCAGGAATTCCCTCCTCAAGCGCTGCTGCTAGCTGCTCTCTTACCAGAGAAAGGGAAGGGTATTTTGGGTCCAAAAGGTTAAGGGTTTAGAGGTCACTCTTCCCGGCTGAAATACAACTAATCGAATAGAAAATTTGTCCTCTGGGTGAACCTGTTCCTGCAATTTAGCCGAACTTCAGTAAAATACCTTTTCAGCTTCTCAACGTGAAGGCGTCAGAAAAAAAGACGTCTTTACTATGTATGAACTCGGTGCTTTTTGTCATAGAAACAATGATGCAAATAATGCGGGAATATCCATCTTTAATATCACGACGTGGAGATATTCAAGTATTGCCATGTGCAAGTCTGAGAACTGGGCTAACCCTAAGGAAGAACAAAGAGTTTTCTCCAGGCTCTAAAACAAAAGACCAAGTCTTAAAGACACTTTGCGGACTTCTATGAACGAGAAAAAGGCAGAAATTAACTGCTGGCCACAGTTAACACTGCTGAATACACCCTTGTTGAAAAGTTCGCTTTTTATTTTCGAATTCATTTAATCCCATTTTGGCCACTGTTTCCCCGAGCGAACCCAAAAGCCTTGAGTCCTCGATGGGAAGCACCCAGCCTGGAGAAGGGCACGTTAACTCAGCCCCTGCTCTTTCCACCTCCCTTCAGTGTTTGCTATGAGTTTCATTCTTTACTCCTTTTCTCTTTAATAAAGGGATCACCTCGTTACAATTTCGACTATATGGTTTCTCTCCCAGGTTGTCCTGAGGGTACAGGAGATAAGGGCTGAGCTTTAAAGTCGCCTGAGCGGAGGTGTAAGTGGCTGAGGGAGCTGGTTTGGTCGGCTTTCGTAGTTACAGCGCACTAAAACTTTGGCAACCCGCAGTCAGGGCCAAATCAGTGAGTATTAGACGAGCTCTATTCCCATGCAAGCCTTTCCTCTTTCCATGAAAGCAACTTGCTGAGCTTTCCAACCGTTGCAGTCATGTGTCGTGGTTTGCTTAAAAACAATCACTGTTCTTAAACAAACAAAAAACAACAACACCAAAAACCTAAACAAACCCAAACCACAAAAATCCAACAGACCAAAATAAACCTAAACCAAAACAAGACAGTAGCCAACATAGCCTACCTCTCTTTAGCAGAAAAGAAATTTGAAATCTGATTGAAATAATGTATTCAGTTTTCAGCTTTGAATGGCTCAAGTTATATCAGAAATCACATTAACTTTTCACTTTTTTTTGGTGGTGGTGGTAGTTCTATTGTTTGTTTCGAGTTTGTTGGAGGTTGGGTTTGCTATTTTTTGGGGGGGGTGTTTTTTGTGGTCTCCCTTCTTTTTTTTTTTCATTTTTTTCCCTTTCCATTTTTAAAATGAGGTATTGATGGTTTAAAGCACAGCGCTGAGTAGCAGACTTTGGAAACAGATTTCAAGCCTGTAAGCTCTGGATGGCACACGATAAGGAGCAGGGACGCTTTTCCTATTCGCAAAGGAGGAAAATAATAAAAAAGGGGGGGGACAAGAAAGTTGTGTACGTTCAAGACAAGTAAACATTACATATGTGTTGATGAGATTGGGAAGGAGAAATACTGTATTTCAGCTCCTCTTCCCCGTTTTTGGTTTGACTATTTTTCTTTTTGTCTTCACTCTTCTATGTAACAAATAAATAAATACGCCAGCACTATCAGAACGTAAAATAACCCGTTTTCACTTAATCCCTACACACACCTTCTGAGACGTTATGGAAATGAGCAAGTATTTTCATCACACCAAGAAAGGTAAAGCAGCACAAAAAAAGTTCACATTTAATAGTCTTTATGTTCAAATAAAAGACTATACTATGAATTTCCTGTCCTCAACTTGCCCAAAATGCATCCGTGCCCAAATTACATGGGATAAAAAGACAATTAAAAGTATAAATCCCAGAATAAAGCATCCAATCTTCACTTTCGAATTCAAAACTGAAACACAGGACAGTTTCATTTTCAATGATTTATTACTTTTTAAGGACAGAAGGTCTCATTTAATATTTTCCCAATTCCCACTGCCTGCGTGATGGTTCGTTTTTTCTTTCCCCTTTCTCTTTCTTTTACCCCTTTTTTTGTTTTCCTTTTTTAAGTTGTGCTAGAAGAGGCAAATAAAATAAAGTCCAAAGTAGCGTCATTTTGTCTCCTTTGTACAACAGTACCTTAAAGAAAGATGACAGTTTCTCGTGTCCTTAGCTGCTACATGCAGGTTCTGCTTGGGCAGTGTCAGTTATGTACAGTACTGGTCAGAAGCGAAGGATGAAATGGAAAATTTCACCTCTTCTACAAAGTTGTCAAGTCAGTCTGATGGTCCTTGGAACCAGTTTGTAAATGGGGGTTTGAACCAGATGAAGAAGACCTGCCCTTCGTGTTGGGCAGTTTGTGATCTTTTTTCCACTTCATTCTTCTGTTCTGAAACCAGATCTTGATCTGGCGCTCAGAGAGACACAAAGTGTGGGCTATCTCGATACGGCGGCGCCTGGTCAGGTACCTGTTAAAATGAAATTCTTTTTCCAGTTCTAGGACTTGCTGTCTGGTGTAAGCTGTGCGGGAGCGTTTAGGTTCCCCTCCGTTGTAATTGGGATTCACTGGGAAAAAAATACGGAGAACTTTACAAAGCTAATCTTGACTTGCCGGTTCGACTTTACAAAAGAAAACCTTATGAGCTGCGAGCATGTGGCCGGGCTGGATTCGTCCCAGTTGCTTACAATGGACGGGCTGCTCTCCCCCACGTTTGAGGCAGGCACTACGGGCACACGCAGCTAGGTAGTCTGGGAGCCTCTAGCAGGCTCCTAAAATGGAGTTTTATCCTGCACGGCAAAGCCCCGCGTGGCCAACAGCCTATTTCCTCAGCAATAAAAATTTATGGCGAGTGTAATTGGCCACCTCGGCTTACAAAGCTCGTCCACGAGCCTGGCAGGGACTCGGGCAAGCGCCGCTGAGGACGATCGGAAGCAGGGTAGAAGAGCAAAGTAAGAAGAGGATCCTTACCCGAGTTTACATGGACTTTCTTCATCCAGGGATAAACTACTGCTGGCTGCTTAACTGCGGAGCCGTTTGGGGGTTTGAGGGCCGGCTGCTGGCTGCAGGCTCGCGAGTTGGACATTGGAGGCGGTGGACAATGCTCTGCTGGGCCGGGGAAGTGGCTTGCCGGGCCGGATTGCTCCTGTCCGTGACCCCGCGGCTGCCCGGCAGAGCCTTGGGCATTGCTACAGCTAAAGGGTTGCTCGCTGTAGTTTGACCGTGGGTAGAGTCCCTGGTGCTGGAAATCAGAGCCTTGCGAGGCACTGTAGTACTCGGCCCCCTGCTCGCCTAGGTAGCTATTCTGCAAATATTCCTCACAAGGAGGAAATTTGGGATCCACATACTTAGAGTTCACCATATACGAACTCATGGCCATTAATTTCTGAAGGTAGAAAATACTAATTTTTCTCGTGTTGTCTTTTTTTCCCCTGCCATAGAGCCCTCCTACTTGCTGTCAACTGAATAAAGTTAGGCGGGCATGTGACCGGCCCGGCCAATGGGGAGCCGGGCGCCCACCGCCGCATTTCCCCGCATTTCCCCCGATTCCACTCAATAACATCCCTCTGACTGGGTGAACCCCCTCTCCGGCGGGCCGCACCCCCAAACCAGGTACCGGAGGTGTAGGGGTACCCCAGGGCGGTGGTCGCTGCCCTGCCCACAGCCTTTTGTCTGAGCCGGCTTCCCCCAGCCCCAGGGGATGCAGACCCGCCGCCTGATTTACCAGCCAGCATCACCACTGGGGCTTGGTACCTTGCTTTAAATAAAATTAAAAAAAAATATCGAAAGGAATATACAGAGCGATGAGCTGAAGCGGGGTTAAAAGGGAAGAAGCTGGTAAGCAGGAGAGGAAAAGAAAAGCCGTCAAAGAAGAGGGTAATATGACGTACAATAGATCTGTCCTGTCTTTGTCTCGCAGAGGTCATCCAAAAGTTACCAGAATTTAGTTCTGCTGAATAAAATTAGGCAATCAGTAACTTCTCATTCACTTTCAAGCCTCAATATATACGTGTGCATACGTATGCGCGCACAGACGCAAACGCCAAAGTATAAATATAAATCTATACATGTATGTATGTAAAATCATACAGATGGCAAGAAACAGTTCACTTTTAACTACTAAAGTTCAATCAACTGAACTGGTGACGTCATTTAATTAGGTAAAAAATACCACAGGTTTAATGAGATAAATTCGGTCTTCATTCATCAATATCATTCCTGGAGCACAAGTAAATACATTCCAGTGAGACGAAGGCTGCTTTTGCTGCTGTCGTAAATATTTTGGTGTGATCTGGACTCTTGACAGGGAAATTTTGCTAACGTCTGGCATATCTAGCTAATTTATTAGTATCTTTTAAGAGAGTCATTCACTGATTGGTAAATAATTTCTTTCTTCCCCGCCTTCCCCCCCGAAAATTTGTAACTTCTGGTGAGATTAACTGTTTAAATTCACAGATTTTCAGTGAAAGTTAGGACTGAAAGACAATTGAAGTTTAAAAAAAAGTCCTAAAACCTAGCAATTAGGAGCGAGGCAGCAAAACTTTTATAATTTTTGAGTGTTCAGCACGCACATGCCTCTTGATTCCACCCGTATTTAAACTTCTAACCATTTGCAGAAAGGTGAAGTTTTTGCATCGACCATATATTCCCCTAGAATCGAATCTGTGACTATATGAATATCACACAAATTCGGTTCTACAGGGTATATATAGACAACGTAATAACATTCTGTTTTCATCTATAATATAGCAGGTCTTTGCAATTCTCTTAGTCTCTTACTGTCTTCTGAGGAATGTAAACTATTCTGCTGGGACTCAGTTCTGAAATACGGATTTGCAGGAAGGTGGGATTTCGGAAAAGATTCACGCTTGTTATAATTGCTGCAATAGAACTATACGAGTCTCCACCAAATCATAACGACGAATTTCGCCTACCAAATTCTCAGAAAGACCTGCCGTTCTCTTTAAATTCTCTGTCGTTTACGTCCTCGCTACGGAAAATGGACCTGATCGGTCAAATTGTGCTATTTAGAATAATGATGGCTAAAGTAATTTAGAAAGGAGTCTTTAACTATTTAGACTAACACGAATCCGAAGAGATTCTCCATAATCAGAAATTCCCCCCCCCCCAAATAAGAAAGAATTAAAAAAAAAAAAAAAAAAGACAAAAACGAAACAGAAGTAAAACAGTCGACAACAGAAACAGCGGTTGGTGAAAAAGATGAGATTAAAGGCTGGAGTTAGTTGCTCTCGGGAAGAAGAGAGTTTCCAAATTTACCTTCATCCCATTATGCTGGTCTAGCTATTATCCCCGCGAGCTGCCCGCGAGCCGTAGCCTCGCACCCTCCCAGGTTTTCCCCGCCGTAGCGTTTATGGTGAAGGGCAGGGAGAGAGGTCAGCCGAAATCATTTACAAACATATCACAAAGTTTCATTATTTTTACTTTGTCGACAGCGGCACACAGGAGTACAAAAGTTCATGAATTGTGTCTGACCCAGCTCCTCACTGCTGTCCTGCGGTCAATCTCTTCTCCCTCCACTATTTAAAACAGGCACCATAAGGACAAATAATGGTGCGGGTGTGATACATCCAACCACTGCGGAGGGCAGATTTGGGGGTGTTGCGCTTATCCGAGCTGTGTGTACCGGTTTGTTTGCCTGGTTCCAACTCCCAACTGCCTGATCTGGGAGATGCTATTTTTAAACATCTGCTTTCTTACTACTGCTGTGGTGCCTTCTTCACAGCAAGTGCAACTCGAAACGACTTCGTGTCCTTAATCCCCCCCCCCCGGCTTATTTAAATCTCCACGCAACTATTTTAAGCGCCTCGCACCGCTTTCTCCTCCTTTCTCTGAGGGGAGGGGAGTACCCCCCGCCTCCGCGGGGGTTATTAACCACCCGGCTGAACTGGCAGGGTAACACCCCCCCGCCCCCCAGTGCGAGCTCGCCTTTGGGGCAGCCCCCAGGAGTGGACAAGCCCGCGAGGACTGCCCAGGAAGAAGCGAAGGGTCTGGGGAAGCAGCAGCTCCCCGCTCTGCTTAATACTACACATTTTCATATTTGTTAGACGCTGTGACCTGCGTTTCACCTTATTGCACGACTTGCTCAGACAGGTCAAAGCCAAAGAGTTATTGATGAACAAAAGCGTTATATATTCACCTCCTGTTCTTCTGCCCATACAAAATACTTTTGATCTATCAGGCTTTTTGTATTCTGGTTCATGGTCAGTATGCTAAATGTACGTTAGCAGAAAACAAGTAATCCATACGTCTAGGGCCAGCCTCGGAATAAAATGCCAAGGACATCTATGTAGCGCAGGGCTGAGGTACGAGGGGAGGAAAGTTACCTACGGAACACAGTTAAAACTGCAATGCTGAAGGCGATTCTTTAGTTCGTATTTATAGGGCTCGAAAATCAATACAGCCACGTAAGGCAAAAAGACAAGGAGAAGCTTAGCACAGGCAATGAAATAGGTTATTTATCAGGAAGCAGGGAGAGGAAACGGGTAAATGCAAACAAACACAGTTCCTCTCCTCTACATCCTCCCGGTCAGAGTGGGACTGGTAAAAGCGGGGAGAGCAGTGTAGAAACTAATGCATCTCCAAATATCGCAAGCTTTCTTTCCCTCTTTGAGAGATGAGCCAGTCTCAGCCTGGAACACCAGGACTGATGCTCTTAGCTCCTCACTAGAGCCAGAAAGGTTGAACAGCATTTCCTGATGCACACTTATCTGCTGCCCTCCTCTCGGTCCCCCCAGCGCAGCTCAAGCAGGACCATCTGGGGTGTGAAAACCCCTACAATAAAAGATTGCCTTCCTAAGCTCTGATACCCATTCCCGTGCCTTCACAATATTTAAATCCACGTTAGAGTCTTCCCTGCCCGGAGAGACCTAGCTGCAGCGGATCAGCTCTACCGCCCGCAGGACTCGGATGCAGCAGGGCTGTCCCGGCTGGCAAGCGCGAACCTCTCCCGCCACTTCTTTCACCCAGTCACCAGGCTGTATCAAACGAGGGGAACATTAGAGAGCAAGCACAGCTCTGCTTGGGATCCCATCTGGAGAAAACAGTGGGAGTAGCCAAGGTTATGAGGCGCTGGGACACAACGTGATCCGTTCGGGTTCTGCACGGGGAGGCGCTGTACAGTCCCGCCGAGTTGAAATGGAAACGCTGCTAATTGCCTTGGAGTGCTTAAGAGCAGGAGGACACCTGTACAGCCCTGTAATAAACCCCCAGGAGACTGCACCTCTGCTTTTAATGCTAGCCAGAGTTATGACATGGTACCACAAATCAACTCCACAAGAGCCTTCACATGCTGACGTGGTCATTTTCTTCTTCTTTTTTTTTTTTTAATTATTAATTAATTTATGTTGGGTAGCAATATTCATCAGGCATCATCATTTTTAATTTTTCCAGTCTGAATAAAAGAAACAGGATTTTCAAGCAACTCAGACTCTACAAGAAATAAGAGGTTACTTACCGTGGATGTCCTTCCATACTGCTGAACCTGTTGCAATAAAAACGTTTGTTACTGTTGTATTCCACATACGGGTGATGTTTCTGGAGAATGGTTACAAACCACGTTTGATAGATGAAGGCAGAGAGGAACTGGTGGTAAACCCTGCGAGCAGCGGAGTGGTGGGATGGAAGCCCCTTCCAAATGAGGACCACGTTGCATTCAGGCAGTTTTTATGAACACACGCTTTCCCTGTGCCCGGGGTGTGATCTTTTACTTGTAGTATTCATAGTCTAAATTTTATACCAGATAATTTCTAAAGACGTGAAAAGTCAAAGCTCCCTCTTTCACTGATGGAAAAGATGGAAAAGAAGAATAACAAAGGCTTCTTTTTTTTTTTTTCTTTTGTTCTGTGGCAATCCAATCACTTTAGAAATTAAATATTCAGATCACCTTTGCTAAACCATCACCCACAAAATGTCTCAGTACGCCATGGAACATCATATCCATGTAGAGCACAGAAAGAACTACAGTTCTATTAGAATGAATATCCGGTTACTCTAAGATAGATCCCTTTTAAGATCACCTAATTAACCTACCAGTAACCACGAGACATACATCTTTGTTTGCACTATGGAAGGATAGATTTAACTTGAACTTTCCTTCAAATATTTTAATTAATATATTCAAAGAGCACAATAAGGGAAACAAAAACACGTGCTTACTCTAATGTTCCTGAAAAGCGTCGTATATTTAAAAGTAAATACTAATGAGGAATTCTCTTCTCTAAGCTATTTTTCACCTCCTCTATTGCCTTCCTACGATATCTTGGAGAGTTATTGTTTTAAACACAGGACAATTGCCTAGTTATCAATAGTTCACTAAATAGAGCTTCCCAAGACCGTTTTTTGTTGGATTTTTTGTGTGTTTTTTTTTAGTTCTGCCCACTCTGGACAACATACAGAGCCTGGGAAGAGAGCGGACTAATATCAGCATTTTGCCACTAAGCATTCTTTTTTTTTCCAATTTTTAAATTTTAATTAAAAAAATATTAACTCCAAATAAGAAATCCCATCAAATTCAGAAACGTCAGACAGGGACCAACCAGCTCATCCCGGCGCACCCCTAGCCACCTGAGCTCTACCTGCCCATTTCCCCAACAGAGCTGTTCCGCGTTGCCAGGCTGGTACCCCGTTCCCAAGAAGTTCCTCGGGGCACAGAGAGCCCGAGCGCGGCGGCGGCGGCGGGGAGGCTGAAAGCGGACTTACTGTGCGCTCCCCCCGCGGCCTGGGGGACCCGGTAGCAGAGGTGCCTGCACGGTCGCATTCCTGCCGACGGTTCCCTGCTAACACTTTCCCGATTACTGCTTCCAGGAACGAAAGCATCTGCACTTGTATGCTCTTAAACTAATTTATGGTGGGAATTATATTTTGGCTTGTCAACTCTCAAGCCATAAAACAAAGTTTATTGGAATCACGTGCTTCTAAATAGCCACTCAGGACCTATCTCTGTGGAACCATAAATAACCTTCAGCTTTAAACTTTTATTCTCTAAATAAAGGTTCGCTGAATCTGTCCTATTAAAATGGGACTGGGTCGGAAAAGTGGGGATGGGTGGAAGCTCATCTGCACGGCGTTATGCCGGCCTTTTTCAGGAGCGTGTGGTGGGGAAAGCTGCAAAGGGGAGTTAGCATTCCCGAAGTGTTCTTGAGAAAGGAGCCGAGGGCGTTTTGCTGTGGATATCCGTTCAAACATTTCTTTATACTTCTTAGGGGACAGGGAAGCCCAATGTCAGGAGAAAACAAAACAAAAAACCCTAACCAACTGAAAGATGGAACGTCCTCTCTCTTCCCTGGATGTTTATGGCATTTTAATCAGGCTCCCCTGAAAAATGAGTTTGAGTCGTTCATCTTGTGAGCTGTGGCTCGGCAGAGCTGTGCCAGGGGCTGCGGGTTCACCGGGCACCCGACGGATCTTTGTAAGTGACCAAACTGCTGCAAACAGTGAGGGCATAGGGCTTCGGAAAGGGAGAAAGTGTGAAGCCTGCCACAATGAGATCTTTGAGGACTGGAAGTTTAAGGACGGTTATAAAACAATAAAACAGCCTCGGTGTGAAGGGAGAAGGGTGTGAGTTAGCAAATGAGAATTTCAAGGAGCCCGAGCACAGGAAGTCAAATGTCCCTGGCAGTCTCACAGCATGAAGAAACGCGGACAGCAGCTCGCAATCTATCATGGCTAAGATGAGGACGTCGGAGAGGCCAGCAGTTCCTGGTGCGTCCAAGGAAGAATTTATACCTTCGCCAGAGGGCGGGGAACCGCATCAGCCCCGTCGGGGACCGGCCGCGGGCAGAGGGGACCAGCCAATCCTCCGGCCCTCGGGTGCGAGTGCGCCTCCGCCCGGGGACTTAGCTCTGAAAAACGAGCTAACTTCAGCTCCTTGCTGGGTAGTGGCACCAGCTGGGTGGTGCCTGCTTAACACCAGCCTGCTCTTACTTGGCCATTTCTGGCTACACAAGCCTGAAGCAGCCCAAAAGGGGCAGCTCAGATCTTGCTGTACACATTAGATAGCGGAAATCACAGCTGATCAATTAGTTTTCCTACAGAGAACAAGAGGCATACCAAGATCCTTCCCTGCTCCTTCTTTATGACCCAGAGTGACTTTGCATCCCACTGTTTTTCTTGCTCTTGTCAAGGCCTTAATCATATGGCATCACTTTCATGCTTTTTTTAATGGTTTGAGCTGGGAAATGGCTCTTTCCACCTCCCCTGACCAGGACAGCTGGCAGGGGCACTGGCATTTCAGCTGCAGCACTCAGTCTGAGAAACTTTATCAGGACCAGGGGATCTGGCCAGGCGCCCCCAGGAGAGGGGTGGACTGCCTGGCATGGGGCTGACTTCAGGGTTGCTTTGTACTGGAGCACGACTCATACTCCCAGCAGGCAGGGGAAAAAGCTCCCTGGGGCTCCCTGAGCCTTGCTCAGGTACCTGGGCTTGGGCACGGTGGGCCCTGAATCAGGCTTCTGGCAGCCCCTAGCTACCCTCCTCACCAAACACTTCACCATCACTGACCTCCGGAAGAAGGGCTTCTGCAGCAGGCAGCTGCAGGGAGCCAAAATGCCTGTTCTCTGGAAAGGTGTGAGAAAGCCTATATACTAGGATATGAGGGGTAGGATGCAATAAGAAAGTGCAATAAAGTGTGGGGAAAATAGCCTGGGACGACAAGAACCACGATGGAGAGTCAAGCGTGTTTGCCCTGGGCTTGGCACCGGGTACTTGGTATGGTGAAGGTCCTGTCCCGGGCAGTGGGGGCGATGAGTGGGCTTCAGCCCCTGTGCCAGTATAGGGATTGTCCCATCCCTCCCTACATGTCTGCGATGGCTTTGCCTCTCTTGAGCCATCTCATTGTCAGGAGAAGCCAACGGTTTTTAGACAAGATACTGTCCTGTGTGTGCAGGAGGAGAGGAGCCGCAGCGAGGCAGGAGGCATAGCAACACAGCGGCCGGCCATAGTGTCAGCCCCTGGCAAAGGGAGTGGCCCAAGCCAGGCATGTGCTTCAGGCACACGTGTCCGGGAGACTGGAGCTGGGAAAGGTGAGGCTGCGGGATAGTGAGAAATTGATGACTGAGACAGAGCTCCCTGTCATCTAGGGACAAGATGAATGCAACACTAACTGAGTAATCCTAGCCGTGAGATTTTTGAAGAGGGAATTAGAACGATTTTCACATTTCCTATTCTGAAATGCAGATGTGAAAGTTGGCTTTGAAGCTCTGGCCAGTTCATTCTCTAGATTTTTATGCAAGTTTTCGTATTTGGGACTGACTATCTGAAGACAGATAAGCTGTGTAATAAAGTAACACAGTAACAATTGGTTTCCCTCTGGTAATTTTGCGATAAAAAGGTTGGGGAAATTGAATCGTGTAAGCCACCATTGCTCTTGATGCTACTTGACAGACACGACGACTGGCATCCTACCCCAAGGACCACACTGCAAGAAAATTACAGGCTCCATCTCCGACTTTGAACACCTACCAAGCGCCTCGATAACATCCAATGCATTATGCCCCTCTGCTTTTATCATAACCCCGACCTTTCCACAGTCACCTCGTCGCCCATGCCCTCGTCAAGCAGGATGTAGGCATGCAAAGGCCCTTGCCCACAGCACCCTGTGCCCGTAGGCAGATCCGGCGGCAGAAGAAGCCCGGAGCGGGCAGGGCGGCGTCGAGCCGCGCCTCGACATCAAAAGGGAGCAGCGGCGGCGACACCTCGGGTCCGCGGGGGAAGAGGGTGAGGAGCGCGGGGAAGGGAGGGGAGGCCGGGGGCCGTGGGAGCGTCTCGCCGGGGCAGGCACGGCCCGGGGAGATGGGTGCCACTAGGGTCATGTCCGGGCGCGGCTCAGGAAGGTGAAGCCTGGAGGAAACAGGTGAAGCTGAGGCGGGGAACTCTGTCGGGTCCCGGCTTGCAGGAGGCAGGGAGGATGTGCGGGGGCCGGGGGCTCCGCCCGCGGGAAGGGAGCCCGCGGGAAGGAGGGTGCGGGCCGCCACGGGGCTCTGGCACCCACTTCAAAGGGACAGGGTGGGAAAAGGTGGGTGCCTGACATCAAAGGGCGGGCTGGTGACCGGGAGGGCGGCGGGGCACACGAGGGGAGCCCCGCGGCACTGTGGTTCAGGCAGGGAGTGCTGGAGGGTGCACACCGGGGCGCGTAAGGGGCTTTGGACTGGGGTCAGACGGGAGGCCGCGGCACTGGAGGGAGTAGGAGAACTGGAGCGCAGCTGGAGTCGCCCGAGAAGGTCGGTGGAGCTCCGCCCATGACCCCGCCTGCCGAGGGGCCTCTTCTGTGGGCAGGCGGGCGGCAGGGTAGGGGTCTCGAAGCTGGCGGCGGGGTGGTGGGCCCCTGGCCCCGGAGGGGAGAGCGACCAGGCTTGTCCTACAGCGCCTTCTCCTGGAAGAGGCCGTGGAGACATAATGGCTGGTGGCGGCGGCCGGGGCCTGTCGCGCCCCCGGCGGCCGCTCCGCGGGCCGGCCCGGCAGCCCCGAGCGCGGGAGCCGCGGGCAGGTGACCCCGGCCCGGCCCGTCGGGGCGGGCGCCCACACGCGGGCAGAGCCGGTGGGGCCAGGCCGCGACGGCGGGGCCGGGCAGGCGGCTGCGGTGATCCCCGCGCCTTCGCAGGCTCCAGCTCGGGTGGCTCCTGGAGTGGGGCACTGGGCAGTCATTGCGGGCTGCCTCGCCCTCCCGCGGTCCCCTCCCCCGCGGGTGATGGGAGGCGAGCGCTGGACTGAGGCAGAGCCTGCTGCCGCTGAATGCACTTTTATTGCCTCTTGTCTCTGGCAGAGACCCTTCCTCCGCGCCCCGCCCGGCCTCCGCGACCTGCTGCAATGTTTATTGTGCCTCATCTTTTCCTTTCGCTTCCTGTTCTCTCCCGCTCCAGCAGCATTGACTGCCGCACTGCAGTAGAGCAGTAAATACCTTTAACAGCTGCCTGCCAACCGAGGGGTGAAATACCGTCTTTGTTCCGATTTTTTTTTCTGTCCCAAGCTCTCATAAAACACTCCGTGGGAATTATATTTTTGGGGGGAACGAGAAAATGAAACGGTGGGATTTGCGGTTCTTAAGAGCCCCAAACCAACGTTTATTTCTTCATCTAGTCTTATCGGGTTTCCCGGGTCCGCAGTTCACATCACCTCCCCTCCTCTCACCAAAGCCCTGCCAGACTCGGGGAACAGAGACTGCGCTTCTCCTCCAGGCAACCTGCAGCAGCTAAAGGGGAACCCAACCTGACTTCCCAAATGGCAGCCGGTGCCAGAGGTACCCAGGCTCTGCCAGGGAGCACAGGCTACCGCTTCCTGTCGGCTGCCCGTGCGTCAGTAAAGGGTGGGCTAGGGATCGGCTGTTTCCTTTCAACAAAAAAATGAGATGAGTCATAAATTCTGTCGAACACGTCAGGAAATGAAGCAAGTGCGAGAAATGTGACTGTAAACTCTGTATTTCAAAAATCTCAGCACATCGACATATCTATGCTCATACCACGTTATCTAGGTGTATAAATATATAAAAAGGTAGTCCTCACATGTGCCATATATATAAACATGTACATACGGAGTTTGCTATGAATACTTAAAATTACATAGGTATGTTTAAGAGCATAAACAGACCTGTGTGTACTTCAATGCTAATATAAATAAATAAATAATTTTTTTAAATACAGCCAATAAGAGAAATAATAAGAGCAAAAGGAAGCAAGGAAGGAAGCCATTTAGAAGGGGGGAAAGCCGAATTCCCACATAAACCAGTGAAATAATAAATGCTTATGTGTATCCGTATGTGTCAGCAGATGAACCCGCAGACACACACATGCACATTAGAATTCGTTAGAACATCCTGCTTTTGTTTTCTTCTTTTTCCCCAGGCAACGAATAATTTCAAAACAGCTCAAGGACGAGATTTTCCGAAGTTTTTGGAGAGATTTATAGCCAAGCAGATATAATTACTGTGTCACTTAGAAGGGATTCTGAGAGTGAAACCTAACGCAGCGCATGCTTTCCAAGTTACTCTTGAAGACTGTTGTAAGTTGAAAACGATTTGTCCCAAATAATCCCCAAGTCCTGCAGCAGCGCAGAGCGGTCGGCTAGTGCTAACAACGAAAGCGTGGGGGACAGCGATTTTATTACTTACTGTAGTGGGACTCGGGCTAATTAGCAGTCTGGAGAGGTGCTCGGGGACGGATTAAAGAAGAATTTCTTCTGCGCCTTCAAAATACGTACCCGGGTCACGACTCGCACCTTTCCACCCTCACTGTGTATTGTTTAATCAGGCGTTTTGGTTTGCCGTTAATTAACTGGCTGCTTTTGGATTAGATGGCGATTCGGTAAATTCCTGCAGAGCAATGGCACGGTGCATTGCTACCACCGACCATCGATGTGAACGCCAAATAACAGGCAGCGTGTTTTCTACTGTGCAGTAACATTTTGAAAAATGAAGATGAGATGAGTAATATATATATACGTTCAAAATAATGTACTTCTAAAGAATATGCGTTCTACAGATAGAAGTAGAGGTACATAAATGTATATATAAATGTATATAGATAATGCGAATATGGATATATACACTTATATAGGTAGTGCAGGTATTGTTTACGCGACTGTTCTATCTCCTCGGCATATTTTAAAATAAATCCGGGGGGGGGTGTTGGGTTTTTGTTTTTGTTTGGTTTTTTTTTTTTCCGAAAACTCGTGCCACATTTAGCCCCCGATGTTTTCCACGTGGGTAAGTAGCCGTACTGCGGGTCTGCGCTC